AATTCCATAATTTTCAAATTATCTATCTTCGTTCTGCTAACAAATTCCGCAACTTCAAAATTTCAATAATTTAATAACCTTTCTAATTTTCAAATTCCCTCTAAATTTTGACACCGAAAAAGCGTAGAAAGGAGTGCTAGAATTTTGCAAAATTATTATTTCCCTTGGAAGAATCATAGTATCAAATGATTTCGACGTCCGCAAATAAGTAAAGCCAACGCTTCCCTGTGCACGCACATCACAAGAAGTCTCTCGAGTCTAATTGGTCACAGCGGAAGAAGTACTAATTTACATATATTGAGCCAAAGTTACTCTAATTAGGCTCGTACGAAAGAGCTAAAGAATAAAGTTCTTTGTTCCTGTGCCACTAGCCATCTTGTGCGACGCGAACGGTACCTTTTCTTCAATTATAGAGCAAAGTATCCAATTATTGGCTCTTTAATTCATACTTGATAATATATATAATACGTATTTTTAATACGTGTATTAAAAAATTTCAAACTGTATGACTAGTTTTCATAAAAGGAATTTTTACAAAAAAAGTGCACAAATTTTATTGGCACCAGATATTAACCGATATACTTCATTTGGCATGTTGTTTTATTTTGACACGGGTTTTATACGTAAAAAATTCGCTGATAAAAGCAAAGAGAGAAAAATATGGAGATGTAACATGCCAACTATTGGATCTTGTATCTATAATTGCAATTAAGCGCATAACCGAGGCAGTTAACGTGTTAATCACCGCTACTCATCCTTAACTCGTGCCCTACGCGATCGTTTCATTTATTACAAGCCTATACGCGTTGTCCCGACATTTTAATGCTCGTGACATTATCTCTCACTCATCGTTATCATCATCGTCACAGCAAACATTATAACATTCATAAAAAAAGAGAAGAAACATTATCTTCCGTCCTTTACTATTTGAATCATCGTTTTATCGATGATTCTCGATATCTCCTTAAAGGCTTGGTCGTCAAGTTTTGCGTTCCTTGTTCGTTTCCCATAAAAAAAAACGCTTGTTACATATCTTGTACACTCGGATTTCCAAAGGTGAAGACGGAAAGAAGCTTTCGATTTTGGATGTACATCTTCACCCTTGGGAAACCTTGTATTTGTGTTTATAATTCCCGTTTTGATATAGCGAGGTTGTAAATCTGTGCAGGCGGTAAAGTTTAAATTGTTGGAATGTTGGGTTTTACTTTGGGCACTTGTTTTTATACGTTGTGTCAATTTTTGTATTTTCGGAAATTTTAAACTTTGGAACTTTCGGATTTTCGAAATTTGGAAGCTTGGAATTTTGGGATGTTGGAAATTCGGAGATTTTACAAGTTCGGTACTTTAGGTCTTTGCGAATTTAGAAATTTAGAGATTCCCAAACATTGAAATATCGGAATAGGACTGAAGGATTCTTATACTTTGAAAGTTGAGATTCGAGTATTTTTGAATTTTCGATCTTTACATTTTCGGAATTCTTGAAATTTCCAGACTGTGAGATTTCTCGACTTTAGAATTACAATTCGGCAATTTCAAGATTCCAAAAAACTTTGATACCTAGGGATTTTAGGAATTTCTTGAAAAATAATGCATCACAGTATTCGAAAACATATTAACTTTACAAAACCTTATGTGTTCCTGAAGTTAGATCTGCTTTTAAAAATTGTAGTCCGAAGAATTTTACGACTTCGCTATACCGCAACGGAGACCACACTACGCGTTACGGTGATATAAAAAAATATGGAAAATTGCGTAGAATCGATCGATTCTGAGATACGCGCGAATCTGTCATACAAATGCGGACAAGATCGAAAACGTGTTTCGCTGGTTTCATGAGATCACGCTTCTTGAAAAACGGTTATTTCTTTTCTTTCTTGAGCATCTTCAGGATTATGAATAGTTAAACGGATGAAAATGTATAGTGTGATGTCTTAAACCCATGATCGTCGTGAAAGACGATCTTTCTCATATTTTTAGGTATTATTCGTAAGAGATGAAACGAGCTTCGGCTTTGTCAACTTTGTTTCGACCTTCAAAACGGCTGGATGTCATTTAAAATGGTGGTAAATTGAAATTGTGATCAATTCTTGTATGGTGCCTATTTATCATAACCGCTTTAAAATCATCAAAAATGATGAACATATTGTAATACTCTCAATGACGTGAAGTAAAATATTTTTTAAGAGAAGATTGAAAATTTTGCTGAATTTTTAATAAAGATTATTTATCTTCCTTTTGAACTGCTTACTTTATTGATAAAATATATGGAACAGTCTGCACAGAAATATATTGCAGTATAAAATAAAAGAAGTGAATAATTTATGATGTATTTTAAATTCATTATATAAAATAACACATTTTTGAATTTAATATATTTCATGAACCATTGACCTGTTTTTATATTATACCCCAATATTTTTTCATACAGAATGTTCCATAGAATTGATCTATATAAACAGTTCTATAAAAAAAAGAGAAAGCTTATGTGACAGAATAAAATGAGAGAACTTATACAATTTTAGACTATGTTCAAAAGCTACACTCGATTAAAAATATTTAAAATGATCATGGTAAATAGGACATTGTATTACAGTAATTGTCGTCGCGTTCGAATGTAGAGAAATAATTGACAATAAAAAGCAAGACGTAGAAATTGAAACGAGTATTGGCAAACGCTGGTCTACGAACATTTTCGTCCGAAAAAATTTCCCGTACAAAAGAAAATATAAAAATTGGAATTCGCACGTTTATCGGCGGCACGAAGGAACTCAGTACGAAACAGAATCGTGGAAAATGAAGAAAACGACCGGTTCCGATAGTAATCTTGATTTCAGGCAAAAAACATCTTCGTTTTGCATCGATGTTCAAACTAGAATACATAAATTAATATATTACATAACTAAATAATAATTAGCATATACAAAAGAAAAAAACGTGTTATACGTGGACCAGTCCACGACGATAAAAAAAATGAAAATCGACGACGTGTGTCGAATACTTAAGAAATAATACGGTGTAGATTCAATTGTATAAAATAAGAAAAACGGAGAACTGGCAGGCAAAAATGTGGTGAAGAATTTTGCAGTCTCCGGTGAAGCACGAAAGAAAACGAAGATCCATCGGATGTACCAGAGATCCTAACGTAAAACAGAACACGGAATATTAACGAGTCTTCTAAACTTTTTCGATATCGATATCGTTAACAGAGTGTAAATATATCTTTTAAAAAATCTAAGTTCTCAGCTGTGATAAGCGATCGGCTTGAAAACGTACATATAAAAATTAAAACGGAAAAAGAACAATAGAAAACTGAACCAACGAGATTCTAAGAGATTCAATAAAAAAAAGGGACACGAAATGCTCGGACTAGAAATACTAATTTAACTTTCCAAATCGAATGCGTTGAAACGTTCAAGCCCTTTGCATTTGTGTACTTCGAGCAAGCATCGAATGTTTACTTTTTCATTCCTTTTTAAAATTTCATTCGAGAAATTCTCCTTTCGTTTAACATCTTTAAAGTACGTGTACAGGGTGTTTACAGAAGCTTATATTAAATTCTGAAGAACACAGAATATCTTACTCGAGTCGAAAATTGAAATTGTCAGTATTAAAGACAGAAAGATTCTATTGCAATTTCAAGATTAGTAGCAGTGAAAATAATTTAATTGACAGCCTGTCGAAGTAAAGAAAATTCCTTAAAAAACTACGGAGTAATACTTTCCAAAATTCATAATACAGAAAAGAAAATAACGATGTATAAACGTGAAGGAACACCCTGTACACATTGTTACATACGCTTAAAAAATCACCACGACCAAAGCATCGGATTAACCATTACAGACGAGAGTATTTTATAAATTTGTACGTTTAAACTTAACTTCTCGATAAAATTTCAAACAAGCCTACACAGCAACTGGACAAAAGAATTTCGCGTGCAAAGGGTGGTCGACGAACGAATCGGTTCTCGCGAAACCAACACACTCTGGTACACGTCGTTCAAAATATTTAATGATAGATTAACAGAACAGCACGACAAAACGCACCTAAGGTTCTAAATAACGAGACATCTTTGGGAACGATAACAATAATAATAATATAATATAATATAATAATAATAATAATGGAAAATGATCCTAGTAATAACAATAACAGAAATAATCTAATTACGTATTAATCTCGATTAAGTAATAAATTAAGAACGCACGTACGAGTTATCGTCGAACTGTTCTGCTAAACAATAAAAACGAATAAATTTCTTTTTCTACTCCTTTGACAGAAAGAAAAATCATATTTCCCTTCTCTTCGAATATTATCGTTACACTACTCGCATATTCGAGTCTCACGCTTTAACCCTTTACACTCGGCGAATATAAATACACACGTAAATAGCGTTCGTTAAGAAATCGTCGCTGGAAAATACTAAGCGCGTTGAACGTACACGATAATACTTGAAAAAAAGATACACAAAAATGGCAGAGAACGTTTAACAATTCCTTTTTTTTTTACTTTTTTTTCAGTTTTCGAAGTAGATCGGTGAAAAATCGATCGGTTGTGCATAACGTTCCCGATTTCGAAATTGGACCTCGACACGCGATACTTCGAACTTTTAAAATTACAATTTGGTCGATTCCCTACGATCTAATTAACATCGTATAACGCTAACGACGATACGTTTCACTTTACACGGAACAATTTGAAACGGAACGGAAGTATCCGCCTCTAATACTCGATTAAATCTACCGTGATTAAAGATCAAATATTGAGCTAACAGTACCGGATATGAGACCATTTATCTTCATAAACATATGCTGCAATACTATTGCGGTGAGAGTGATTCAAATATGAGTCAAATCACAAATTCTTAAATGAAGAGAACCTTTCCAATTTATCACTTCTTAAATTTCTAAACCCCAAAATTTACAAGTCCGATTTACAAAATTTATAAATTTTCGAATACTCGAATTCTTCAATTTCAAAAGTTCCAAATTTACAAATTTACACACTCTCAAAATAACGAAGTCTCAAGTTTCAAAATTTCAAAAGAGCTTGAATTATTTTTTCTTTTCAATGCCAGATGTTAGATCTATCGCAAAAAGAGTCTCGTATTCGGTGCCATTACTCTATACCTCAAACACAGATGTATAATCTGAGAGCAAAGGGTTAAACGCACATACGTAACACGGTCGATAGAACGAGCGGTTCTCGTTGGAATCGTAACAAATAATTTCTGATTTGAGGCAATTAAAATCGTGTCGGCAAGAGTCGACGCTGAGAACATTTCACGGGCATTACATTAATATCAATGCAGAGAGGGTCTAGAGGTTCTCTGTTTTAACCTAGCTAAAAGTGCCTGTTCCCCGTCGTCCTCTGTCTTCGACAACATTCCTCGAAAGCTTTCCGACCTGTATTTGTCCCTCAAGAACGTCCTTCTCTCCTCTTTGTACTTTTCAATTCGTTCTCTGCATTGGGGGTCGCCCAGGTCCAAACCACCCAAATTCTTCAGATGACTTTTATCCGCAGTGCCCGAGGAGCTGTTCGAACCGGTCCCGACATTGGGCGTGGAGCTGTGCTGCGCCTCGTCCATCGTTTGTTTCACGGGCAGACAAGCTTCCTCCGTCATCTTGTTGAACTTGGCTTCGTCCAGAGATCGGCTGAGCGACGCTCGAGTCGCCCTCGCGTGACGGGCCCTCAGGCATGGGGGCAAATGTTGAGTATTATTCACGGGCGGTTCTTCAGACTTTCCTCGTGCGGAGTCCAATTCTTGTCTCATTTTTCTCTCACGAACTATCTCTCTGCCTATTTCCGAATCGAAGCTTCTCCGATCCTTGTTACTCTCCGTCTCGTACCTCTTCCTCGGAGGAACGGACAAATCGCCGACCATGCCACCCGACAATCTCTGCAAAGCCAGTTCTTGTAGTATGGCGGCCGTATCTCGGAGGACCATGGAATCGTCGACCGGGGAAGACGCGTTCGAGAAGGTGCACGACGAATTCAATGACGTTGGTTCGGACGCACCTTCGGGAGGATGAGCTATCTCGCTCGCCTCTGCCGCGTTTTCCGACGGTATCACCACCTCGATATCCTCTCGTAGCTGGTTGTTCTTCAGGTTGTTACATTTCGACGACTTATCGGTGCGCGAGGTAAACTGTTTCTGTTGACTGTTCTGAGCAGACTCCTTCTGCGAGACGTACTCGAAGCTTTGGCACTTGTCTGGCTTTTGATTCTGACAGCGTGGCTTGCTGCTGTCGGAGAGAGGGAGATCGAGGTCTTGGTTCTTAGTGGATTGACTGGAGAACGAGCGACGATCGGCAACCTGGAACTGCTTCTGGCGTAGCTGCAGCGAACGTCGAATACCTTTCTGTTGGTAATCCAAGCTTCTCGTGGAACGTTGAGAATTTTCGAAGACTTCTTCCTCTTCTTCTTCATGCCTGAGACCCTCTTTCTTCGAGTTTTCATTGAACGTTTTCGTATTGTCCAGTTGCGAGTAGCATACGCTGCCTTCGTGCTCCATTTCACTAGTTTTCTGGTTCCCGTTATCCTGATCGTGTACGGCTGAGCAAAAGTTGTTTCCAGAATCGACCATGCCGAAGCTCGTTTCGCTTTCGAAAGTAGATTGCGCGGTGTTTTCGTGTTCTTCGATTTCTCTGTTGTCGGCGACATCGAACGACATCTCTCCGGATTCCTGAGGCAAGACAGGACTCTCAGTCAAATCGCTGACGCCGATGCATGATGTATCGGTGTCGGCGGTAGAGCCCATAGTCAGATCTAACGAGGTTCTGGAGACGTTCTCCGACATGGACCTCAACTGTGGCGGGTCTGTTGCGATTGCGGGATTCACGGTACCTTCTAGAGGATCTTTGGGACTACTCGATTCGCTGTTAGGAGTCGTGATCGAGTCGGTACCCTCGACGATCACCCATTCACCGGAATCGTTGGTGTTCGACGCGAGCTGAGGAGTTTCCGTGTTGGTGAACATCTTGTCCGAACTGTCGCAAATGACGAAACCGGAGTCGGGTAGATCCTCGATGGTCTGCTCGCACGACATCGGAGAATCGAGATCCGTCAGTTCGTTTCGAAGCGCGTTCGAACTGCCAGCCATGGCATCGTCGTTCTGAGAATCGATCGACTTGTTCGTTGAACCTTCGTGCTTTCGTACGTCCAGAGTATCGCTATGAGACTTGTTTTCGTCGACGGGACACGAGTTCGATCTATTCCCAATATCCTTACAGGGAGACGTTATTTTACTAGAGTTCATTTCGTCGGGACGAGACGTTAACCTGTCGCAAGGCGTCATCTCTTGGTCGATCACGTCCGACATCACCAGATTCGATTCATTTGAAGTCTGTTGAGTCTTGGAAGACTCTTTGTCGTCGTACAAATCTACGCGTTTGTCGTACGACATTATCCTCTCGCAAGATTTCACGTTACTCTGACCATCTATGTTTACGGATAACCTATGACTAGGGTCGGATGATTTATCGGAAGACACGCTAGTTCTGTTCAATTTATTCGCGTTGCTTTGATCGTCGTCGATCTCTAACGGTAAAGTGAAACTTCGAAAACTTATCCTAGGACTATTAGCCGGAACAGGCGACGCGGAGTGAGGTGTTCCATGTAGTGTGGCTGGGGTGAGCGGTGTCGAGGCTTCAGATAATAATGGAAGGTATCCTGGTGTCGGTAATGGGGATGGAGTATCCATACTGTGCACATCCGCGGATACCATCACCTGCAAACACATTATTAAATCTGTTAGATAATTTCTCGACAAACTATCGTGAAGTTACATAGCAGATTCCTGCTTAATACAGCAACTTGTAATCAATATCTTTCCCCTTTACATTTTAGAAGTTTCTATCCGCCATCAGTAACATCCTGGTAATACAATATATCGTATAGGATAAATACCAAAATAATTACGTTACCTGATCAGGACTTTGGCTATCGATGAAGCGTAATTCAACATCGCACTGTAGTCTTTCTTCCAATCGCGATCTCTTCCTCTTGGATCCACCGGTAGCAGCAACACTCTGCGTTCCTTCCGTTCGTTGTCGTCGCGGCGACGCTTCGACCGACGCCACTCCGCCGCTCTCCTCTTCCGAGAACATTCGCATTTCTCGTTCCTCCAGGTCAAAGTTAAGCTGTATCTCCGACAGATCCAAAGGCGACGCGGTATTCGGCGCGTCCGCTAGATGATCGAAATACGAATCATGCGAAACTGATCGACTGTGTCCACAGGGTCTAGCTGGCGGTGGTCCTAGAAGAGGACCTAAACTGTCCTCACCGTCCAAACTATCCGCACTTTTCACTGGTCTTAATCGTCGTAAGGAGTTTAAGGAACTTGGCACCGTTTCTGCTTGAGGTGGCGTGCCAACTTGTCTTGTTTTTCCCCTGGCACCCAGGCCACCTCTACCGAACAAAGCTCTCCAGTTCAACGAGGGCGAACGTTTCGAGCCGTTTCTCTTTCGCGGTAATTCTATGACCGTATGGTAATGTAATGGTAACCCGGCTGGACCAGCGCCCACTTCTATGTAATCAGGCTCGCCTCTCAGACTTCTGTTTCGAGCTTCCTCCAAACTGAGCAACCGGGCGGGCGTGGTAATAGCCAACGATTTCGGCCGACCGACTGGACCATCCCCGAAAATTAATTCCGCATAACATACTAAGAATTCAGTGACCACAGCTTGCACGCCGACGCCCTGCAAAGCTGCTACGCCCCCAACTTCTAGCTCCTTGCATCTTAGCAGATTCGGAGCCCACACGATCGCCACATTACGTGGAGTCATACCGGTCTCCGCGCCTCTTGCAGCGACTCTCACCAAATGGCGCATCAGATACTCCAATGTTCTAAAAGTATAAATAATATTTCAGTCTTGTTACACTTTTTTCATTTTTATTGGCAGCGTTAACTGACAGAAAGGAGGATGTTAAAATAATTCTCTAAATTTTCAAGACTGCCTAAACTGGCGAATAGACATCCTCCTTTCAAGGCTAAATTGCATTTTCGTGAAATTACCTGTAATGCGGTGGTGGTAATTTTCTAACCGTTTCCCTCATTCGCCTCAATCTCTCGGCGTCGGTGCTGGCTTGGACCGCGCTAACGAACGTGGAATATAGCTGGTACGTACAGAGGGGATTCGGCAATTCCCTGAAGTACATTTTCAACAACGAAGCGACCGAATGGATGTCTTGCAGAATACTTTCGTCGGAATGCAAGGCGGGAACACGATCCTCGTCGAAGGCGTTTCGTAGTCTTTGAATGTTCGATGTGACACCGCTCAGACGGTATATTCCGTCGACCAAGCCATGATTCTCAATGAATTCGGCGCAACACGTTAATACAGTAGGCACTGTGAACGTTTGTAAAGATCAGAAACCCGTTAAAGAGAGCACTATAGCGCCGAGGATACGTAACATTAACCTTTCGAGGTCCATTTATTGTGTACATACATTCAATTTATGTTGAAACGAATGCGCCGAATACTGTGCTTCCGTTTAGGTATCACAATTGGACCGTAAAGGGTTAAATTTCGGATGCGAAAACTACCTGTACACGTACCATCTTGTCCGGAGTTCAATAGATGTTCCCCTAAATCACAACCAAACACCCGTTCCTTCAGTATCCCCGACTGTTTCAGCCGTCTCCTAGACGGTCTATTCAATATGAACGATCTGAAAAAAGCGATTAGCTTCCCGTGTTTCCTGAGCACTGGCTTCACGGGTAACTTGGATCTGACTGTCGTCGACACGGTCAAATGGCGTGGAACTTTGTCACCGATTACGGCCACGCATTCGGCTGGAAAGAAACCAACCGCGAATCCGTGTTTTCCACGCCACCACGTGCTTTCCCCTGGTGGTGGCATGTCTATTACAGAAATCATATCTCCAACCTGAAATTTATCGTACGCTTAAAATTCTATTCCATTTCTCTAACATATCGGGTATATACAAATATCCTCGTCTTTGCAACTTCTTGCTTTTTCTTATGGTTTGATAACGATGTGTTTGGATCAAGCGAAATGATTCAATTCTACCTAATTTAATTCCTCAGCAATTCGACAGAATTCAAGTCAACGTGATTCAATTCTACTTAGATGATCCCATGCAAAGTCTCAAAGGAACACAATATTATAAAATAACGTAAACTCGATTTTTCTTCGAAAGGTTGTTGATCGACGAGTTAATATAACGGCATGCTTCCTCTTAGTCCCTCGATTAATAACGTACCTGAAAGGAGATTTCATCCGGTGCCTGAGCCGCATAAGGTCGAACTGCGTAAGCTGCAGCTACAGCAGGTGTATTAATGGGACACGAATCCGATTCTGGCACGAGGATTCTTCTTCCTCTATTGTCTAGTTGCAGCCAATTCAATACAGGGCCGCAATTTAGGCCTTCATGATTCAACTGCGAGAACCTGTTCAAATAATCCCTCAGTATATCACAGGTGTTTTTTGGCCGGTTGTCTGGAAGCTTGGTCAAGGAAGAGAACTTCCTGTCGAATATGCAGCGATGCAGTTGCTTATCAAACATTACGAAATTATCGTAAGATCGTTGGAGGGTCCAGCACGCGTCCCCGGATGTCACCCTGACCGCGTAGCTGTCGGAATCATTGGTGCCTTCGCTAAGCGAAACCTAAGAAAAATGCACCGTAACTTCACCTTTACTTCCATAACAATGCTGCATGGGTAGAAAGGTACTTCTATAATTATACAGGACAGAGTACTTCCGTAATTATATGGGACGGACTACTATAATTATACAGGACAAAGTACTACAATTGTACAGAGTTATCGATTTTCGTGATGTAAAAAGATATTCGAAACATTTTAAATAAAATAACTGAACATCTCAAATTTACAATCATTTTTATTAACAATACATTTAAACTATCAAATAAATGCTTTCGTTAAGTAAAAAGTTTAACGTAGAGCAAGGATGGAAAAAGTTAATTGAGCGAATAAATGACAGAACCTGTCCGTCCGCTACTTAAGAGTAATCTTAAGATTAAAAGTAAAAGTAGTGCGGAGATTAAAAAGTGAAACACGTAAATGTAACTAACCTCCAAGGAGCTGAGTTCAACATGTTCGTAATGAAAGTGGGCACACTCGTCCAATTTTGGAAAGCGTGCTATACTGCCCATGTTGCTGCCAGAACTGATCGGTGTACTGAAATCGTCCGTTCGATTACATCCTAATCCCTGCGTTCAATTAAAAATTTAACGATCTCTATCATTTTTCATAATAACACACATACGTACACGCGCACATCCACACAATCGTACTCGAGATAATTAATACTTTGGTCGGTAATGGTCTAATAACCACGTTCAATGTAATTGACAGATATTATATTTGCAAGCTTAATATATTCTGATGATATTTCGTACACTTTTATTAAGTATAATTTCAAGAAGTTAATCAAATTATTTATTATGTTCCTGGTTTCTTGTATAACTTGCATAAATGTTATAAATGTTCAGATGTAGATCTGAACGTGTCACTCAGATATGGACAAAAAGATGATCAATGTATTGTACCAGAAATGAACACATATTACTTACATTAACATAAGAACATATGCACCAATGTGCACAGTGCAGTATATCAATAAAAAAAGTAAAAACTTGGTAATCTTAAATGTACAAATTGTATTATAACTGGCACGCGATATCGCGTAAACAGAGATGTTAATCCTAGAATACCCAAATAACAGATTTCAGATTTCTTATTTCAAGCAACAGTAATGGTACGATGTTTTTATTAAAATGTATATTGCCTCATGTCAGGATAAAGAATCGTATACGCTAATTTATATTCTCGTATTTATTTTCAATTTAAAAGTAAGTATACACTAAATGCCGGTCGTTCAAGCGTTAGCACACCGGGGATCAACATCGAATCAACGAATGTTCGCAATAATAATCAAACGTCTCAATAAAACTAACAATCATCCCGTAAACGAGTACATCCAATATTATCTTATCCTCGATACAAGATAGACAATCGTTCATCACAAAGACTACCTCAAAATAAGATTTTCATTCAAACAATTTTCTGTACCATGAAACGGTTAACAGACATATTGCAGCGATGAAAGCGATGCGAAACATTTTCAACCTACTTTTCTGCCGGAATAAAATTCTACTAAATTCATGCTTTCTTGAATGTGCAACTTTAGAACTTTCAGATTTCTGGATCTTTGGATTTTGTAATTTTAGGTTTGTGGAAATTGGGGAGTGTTTTTGTAGTTTTAGACGCTTCAGATTTTGGAATTTTGGGATTTTGGGATTTTGGAGTTTTAGACACTTTAGATTTTGGGATTTTTAGAGTTTGGTACTTTGGAATTTTGGAACTTTGAAATTTTGGTATTTTGGAGCTCCAGACACTTTAGATTTTGAGATTTTGGGATTTTGGAATTTTAGAATTTTAGAACTTTGGAATTTTTGTATTTTGGAGTTCCAAACACTTTAGATTTTAGGATTTTGGGGTTTTGCAATTTTAGAATTTTAGAACTTTGGAATTTTGGTACTTTGGAGCTCCAGACATTTTAGATTTTAGAATTTTGGAACTTTGAAATTTTGGTATTTTGGAGCTCCAGACACTTTAGATTTTAGGATTTTGGGGTTTTGCAATTTTAGAATTTTAGAACTTTGGAATTTTGGTATTTTGGAGTTCCAAACACTTTAAATTTTGAGATTTTGGGATTTTGGAATTTTGGTATTTTGGAGTTCCAGACACTTTAGATTTTGAGATTTTGGGATTTTGGTACTTTGGAATTTTAGAACTTAGGAATTTTGGTATTTTGGAGTTCCAGACACTTTAGATTTTAGGATTTTGGCATTTTGGAATTTTAGAATTTTAGAACTTAGGAATTTTGGTATTTTGGAATTCCAGACACTTTAGATTTTGAGATTTTGGTACTTTGGAATTTTAGAACTTTGGAATTTTGGTATTTTGGAGTTCCAGAAATTGTACATCTTAGAATTTAAAAGTTCTACAAATAGTTAATTTCGAAATTTCCTAATTTCAGAAATGTAAGGATTTGGAATTTGGAGTTTCTGGACTTTGGAGATTCAGGAAAATAAAATAAAATTTAAACACCGAGTAGGATCAGCAAACAGTCCATAATATCCGAAAGCTAATCTATCTATCCGAGACAACACTTGGCATTCTTACTATTTAAATGTCGTTAGCGTATCAAAGTGTGTTTGATTCAATCGGCGAAGCAGATACCCGAGAGCCGCGAAATCGACGAGAGTTATACCCCGAATAAACTTGTTATATAAGTTTTACGAAGGCTTTAAACGAGTTTCGCTGCATCGCGTTTAATACTGGCAGAATATGGAGGCAGTCTGTGAAGGCAATTGAAGGAAGACGGTTCAGATGAATCATCGTGCACGGAGAATTCGAATTAACGAGGGGACTGCATGCACGACATTCGGGTCACCGATTTCCTTCCAATTTCGTGTGCTCCTTTAGTGTACTTTTTATACACTAACGGAGTAACATAAGAGGTGTCTCCATAAAATATATATAAAATGCTTACGAACAATTCTTAAATTTTCATTTCACTGTAACCGAAATTAATTTTGTGGAATTATGAAGTTACAGACTATGATGACCTACATACAGTGTCTCGATTAGGTCTAACATCTGAAATATTTTCGCAACGATGACCTTGAAACGATATTCACAGTGACCTCAAGATAAAGCTTGTCGGTGACCTTGTACTTTGAAACCTAAACTTCCATCAGGAATATTTTTCTGCTTCTGGTAAATGTACAAGTCATGATGCGTGACATAAGGACACGTGTACATACGTCACGCTTATTGTTTTATGTGCAAGTTGGATGTATGTAAAAATTTCGAATTTTTTCATTCTGTGAGTTTTATGTTCTGAAATCATGAAATATTGAAATATTGACGTTCTGAAATTTCGAAAATTTGGAGTCTTGAAATTTCGATATCTCGATATCTTGCAATCTCACAATCTTGAAATCTCGAAATCTCGAAATTTCGATATCTTGCAATCTCACAATCTTGAAATCTCGATATCACGACATCTTGCAATCTCGAAGTCTTGAAATCTCGAAATTTCGATATCTCGATATCTTGCAATCTCATAATCTTGACATCTCGAAATCTTGAAATCTCAAAAGCTTGAAGTCTCGAAATTTCGATATCTCGATATCTTGCAATCTCATAATCTTGACATCTCGAAATCTTGAAATCTCAAAAGCTTGAAGTCTCGAAATTTCGATATCTCGATATCTTGCAATC